TATTCATTCCTCCCTGGGCAGATGGAGTGATTCAAACCACACATTAAGAAGCGAAAGTCATCCTTTTTAGCATATATGTGACACTGCTAGAGAGACATCCAGACCTTCCATCATATCAACAAAACTATTCAAATACTAAATCAGGGTCTGATGTCAGTTAATGGATAGAAAAGCAACTGATCTCTGCAGAAGTTCTGAAATCAGAAGGCTGCCACAGCCCTGCCTTCCATTTTGATTCTGCATCTTCGTTTCTACATGGGGTTGGGGAGAGAAAGTTGTCTTCAGGGTCTGATGCAAGGACACTGCGGTGCTGTGAAAGCTTTGTAGCTATAAGAAAGAGGAGAACTGTGGAATGATGAGCTGAGGAGTGGTTTGAGTTACTGAAAGTGAAAAACCAGGCTGATCCCGAATCCAGTGGGTTGTGCCATAATCATACTGGCAAACACAGGCACGGCACCAGATTTGGGAGCCATGGCAAAGATTTGTGGGGAAGCGACCTGTCTTTCTTCTTTTGTCCTTTAAGATGATGCTATTTCAGGAGTCATTGGATTGTCACTTCATTCTAGGTCTGTTCCCATACAACTGGCACCCACCAGCCCATCCTTAAGTCTTTTCCGAATTATTCCAACTAAAATAGTCCCAGGAGTCAGGTTGGAGTGCAGCTCTCTCTGCGGTAAATCCAGCTGCCATGCATTTCAAAACAGAAAATGATTTGGGTCAGATTTTGCACCTGAATTATATGATTTAAAATGTTTTCCCAGGATAAATAATGTACCAACTTTTAAACAAAAAGAAAGTGACAGCTGCTCTGCAAATAAATGCATTGAGTAACTGGTAAGGAACTGTAGAGTGAAAGCATTCTTTGCTGACCAGCAGAAATAGCATCTCCTCCTTTATAGATACAGTAAGTTATTGCCTTTGTAGATCCTGCTTATTAAGGACAGAAGGGGGGGAGGCCTCTACACAGTCATCCCCACCCCGAGTGATATTAATATTCTATACAGGCTTGGACAGAAGAGTGTTGTGCTCGATTGTATACCTAAAATCATCCCACTCCAAATACATATCACTCTAAATATAGTTTCCAGCCCAAGTTGTATGTGCTCTCCCTTTGATCTAATTGCTCCTGACTGCGGGAGCCATGGTATTTAAGATGCTTCCAAAAAGTCTCCTATTCTCTCGTGAAAGCACAAATAAAAGATCGGAAATAGCTCATACATAAGTCATTGTAGTAGTAGTAGTAACAGTAGTATTTTTATTTGCTAAGTGGCACAAAACTCCATCGGTGGAAGGCTAAAATCAAAGTGCCGGAGAGCAGATTGATCCATTGCATAACAAAGCTCAGGTGTCAATCAGCCCACCAACCCAATAAGTGTGGCCCATTGTCTATTATGATGAACAGCCACGAAAAAGAGATATAAGATTAAAATGTTGGTTCTGCTGTATGGATGTAGCTGTTTTTTTAAATTATTCATGGCTTTCTAGCATACAGATTTTTGAAGTGGCTTTCAACCAACAGCTGAAATAATCAACATATATGGACTTTATTGGTCCTAAATACTCATGGCCCCAATTAGAAGGAATAAAAATAACATTTTCATTCACACTGAAAATCTAAATCAACATCTGATTCTTGTCCTTGTACAGGTAAGTCTGATCTCCTCTTTCAGTTTCCTTCGGCTTCTCACTCTCCTCTTTAAAAAATTTAATAAAGAAGTAAATTATAGCACCACCAGTATGTGTTGGTTTAATTTTGTTCATGTCTTACCAACTGAAGACTAATGTTCTGTAATTTATTATTAATGAATCATTATAATATATAATAATATTACAGAACATATTATTAATATGTTTGGTAATATATTAATATTATGTATTATAATTATTCATAAATTAGCAAACAATGTATTATATTATACGTATTTTATTATACATATAATAAATAATATTATGCATAATAAACAACTTTTTACTGCTGAAATCAAATAACAATGTTATCCATTCCAAAGTAATAATAAGAAAGATAAACTCAATAAAATATAAGGTGAAATAAAGATTAAAAAAACAAAAACAACAACAACTGGGAAAAAGAGATAAAATCGGACATTAGCTACAGATTAATTCTGTCCCTGGTGTGAGGAATATAAACCTATAAGTTATTGGTTACACAACAGTTAAAAGTTTGGACCATTGGCCTCCTAATGGCCATAGCAGTCACACAAAACCTGGCTACATTCTTGGATGTTTCAGAGAGCACGGCAGCTAAAACAAGCTGAGTTTTCTCATCAGGCCAGTTGGAGCAATTTGGCAACAAGATGATATTAACTCTCTCTGTGCACCTTTCTGAGTCTGATCAATGGTTTTGACATTGTCTCTTTCAGGAAACATAAAAACATAGGGAGGAAAGTTTAGGCCATATGCCTTAAAGGCCATCCCAGAGTAGATGCAGACCCACGGTGATTTTAGCACCTCGATTTCAAATGAAATCAAAGCAGCTGTTCTGGAATTTACAGTCTGTATTCAGACAGCCAAATATTTGTCGGGGCAAGCTGGACTACCTACTGGAGTCCCTGCAACGTATCCTGATTCTACTGTGATACTTGCTGGTGACATCAGATTGGGTACAAATGACAAAACTCTGTTTTCCCATTATAACAGTGAATCTCCTCTGGTTAATGGTCTGAATTGCCATTAAGCCCATAAGCCAAAAGATAAGGGGATTAGTCATGGGGACTGCTGGCTGATGCCAACAGTTTCAGACTTGAACCTGTTTATATTAAATGGCTCTGTGGATGGGGATTCTAAAGAGGAATAAATATCTGGGGGTTGACATGGGGCTAGTACTATTGAATATGTTATACTGACCTTAGGCTTAATTAGTAGGGACTTTTATCCTTAGGATGACCACTTCACAATTATAGTGAAATTAGCTAACTAATTTCTGAGACACTTATGGATGTGATCTGTGTATTATGTGCTTAAGATATGCTTTATCCTTCATCACTTTGGTAACAACATGAATATTTCTGTCAAGGTCATCTTCCTTACTCACTACAAAAACTGACAGATACTACTCAGAAGCAGCTCAGACAGAACCTCCTTATTTCACTGAAGTATAAAAAGGGGTGGAGGTTCAGCACAACCAGATTTGCAAGATTCTGTTATTATAGCCAATCTCAATAAAAGTAGTTTTAGCCTTCCTGTAGAATTGATTTCTTGATCCGGTCTACTAAGTGAGGCTGACATTTACTGACCATGATAACAGAAGGAAATTTATACCAATATAAATCATTCCTGTGTTTTCTAAGTATAATCCCATATTTCCATAATCAGGAGAGTTCCATGCTATCATTTAAGGACATCAAGCTGATCTAGAACAGACAAACCAACTCCCAGCAGTACACCAGATTTTTTTATACTGAATTATGTACCTTAGAAAATGATAGCCAATTTTTTTGTCTTGGAGTACAATTTGAAATCCCAGTTAGGTGGCAACACTTAAGTGATATTGGCTGATCTCAAAAAGCTACATGGGGTTGGATCCGTGTAATTCTTAATGGGAAACCCAAAAGAAATATCAGAGCTATAAAAACAGGTTGGGGAAAAAAAAGGAAAACAGAAAAAAGCAATGGGAAAATACTTCCATATTCCACCCACCCCACCCCCAAAATGATACAGATGTAAAGGAAACATGACCATTTTTATATTGTTTGGAAATATGTAATAAATATTAACAATCAGTTCAAATACTCAAATATACAAATTCCATATCCTATAACATCTTGAAATGTAATCAGGTTGACTGACTTGAATAGACTTCCTACATCAATGGCTCTCTTCCTATTAAAAGGTTATAGGGTTACCTGGAATATAAGTATCCTGGGTGATGCTAATAGTGAATAATTAAATGGCCAACAACTGTTCCCCAGCATATAATCTTAGGTTTTACTGTTCCATAAGGATCTTTCCTGTTTTAAATAGGGAACTGAAATACAAAAGTGATCCCTCCCCCTATCTCTATTTATTTTTCATTTTCATTGACCATCAAATCTTCGATAGTAGATTTTTGAATGAGAGCAATTTACTGGAATTATGAATTATAATTGAATGGAAAGAAGAGGGTGATTGCTTTTGTTACCTTCAGAGTTCCACATACAGAAATCAAGGGTGGCAGGAGGAAGATCCAAATGAATAAATGAAATATTCATTGCCACAAAATGAAGTATTTGGCTATTTATTCAGTATATTTTTTCTTGATTTGTTTCTTTCTGTGTTGCAATATTCAGGGCAGGTAGGAGGCACTGATGAAATACCAAACCTTGTTTGCTGATGATCTGCCTATCCGATGTTTAATATGTTTTAATCTGTTTTGTGATCTTGGGAAAACATTAATGAAACAAAGGAACAAAAAATATGTGGCCAGAAAAATTTACTCTTAGGCGCTGTGCTTTCGAAATCGCAGGGATTTTGAACAAAACTGTAAGGATTTTTGTGCAGATTTTAAACAGGTCTTTACAAAATCCTTCCCATGTTTTTTTCTTTTCTTTCCCCCCACAGCTGCCCCGAAAGGTGCTGCTCCTGCTGCTTGTAAATTGTATGACATTTAGTTGATATAATCTTGTGGACAAAGCAAAGATGCTGGTCAAATACACTTGCCATCATCCCTTTTTGCATCCAGCATAAGGAAACACAACCTCTGGCAATGCAAAGCACAACCGCATGACTTTATCATTATGTGCAGACAGGCTGCAGAGTTCTACAGACTGAGCAATGAAATAAAATCCTCTCCCCAATCAACCTTTGTTCTCTTGCAGAAGATCACCCAAATTAGCTTTTGTTCCTGTGCATGCTGCACTAAAACCCCATCATCTCAATCAGCAGGTTTAACCGTCAAGCAAGCGGATGGAAGGTCCCTTTGAATTACTGAGTGAGAGATATTCTTCCTGCCAGATCCTGTCCCCTTTAGGCTCTGTAGAGAAGTATTATAGGGCAGTCCTTACCTTGGGAATTAGCCTGCAAGACCCCAATGCTGTCATCAAACTGCATAGATTTGATGTTGAGTGACGCCAAGATGCATTCCTTGTCCTGCAGCGAAGTATCATCAATATTATTCTGATTGGCTGACAGGATGACGCACATGTCGCAGAGGTTGATGTTGACAGCCCTTAAATCAGCTCGGCTTAATGGTGTACCCTTCAGCGGAGAGAGGGGGAGAGAAAAGAGGATGGGAATGAAAGAAAACAAATTAAACACTGAGAAGGAGCTTTGGGAAATTATTTAACAAGTATCCTTTTTATGCTCTGACATTAAGCTGGTCTAACTGTGTGCCAGGGAATAGAAGAAATGTGCTAATCTAAAAGGGTAGTTGGTGCTGATGGTAGCATTTTAGTGTTAAGTCTCAATACTCAGTCAAGCTATTACTAACAAATAAGAAAGAGGGATGAAACCAAACTTTCTGCATGATGCCTGCAACTTAGAACCATCTTGATGTCTGTTAGCGTCCTGGGGCATGAATTCTTTTTCTAAGCATAGCAAGGGGTGTGTCCAGATACCTACCACTGGAAATACTGGAGCTGTGCCATGGAAAAGAATGATACTTTTATGGACCTAAACAGAAAGCAATCTCTCTCTTTATATATACATACATACATACATACATACATCCCAAAAGCATAGTAGCTGCAGCAAGTTTCATCTTTTTCTAAGCCAACCTGCCATAGCATTTGCTTAAACAAACTGAGATTTGTTTAGAAGAGAAAGGGTCACTAAATTAGTAAGCACCACATGCATGCTGTTTTCTGGCAGCAAAATTACTAATTGGGCCATGTAGCAAAACATTATAATGTTCTTATTGGTGTTTGTACATGTTTGTACATGTTTATAAAATATACTCGGAACTATTGGATGATTTAAACATTACGAATAGGATGACTTCCTTCAGGCCACTGTTAGTGTGCAAATTTGGCCTGGATGAGAATTAGAATAAGAGTTACAGGGAACACAATCCAGGCATCTTAATGTGACAGAGGAAGAGAGAGATGCACAGCTAATTTGTCATGTTGTTCTCCTGTTTTGTGTTCCTCAGCTTTATGACAAGTGGGATAAATGGGGAGATTGCTTCAGCTTCAAAGACTAATATGAAGCAGCCTGGCCAAACAATTAACGATGGATTTCAATTTCAATTTTGACTGTATTTATTTTGTTTTATTTCACCCTTTGTTTTGTTTATTTTTATAAGTTGCCTTTTTAGGGGGAGGAGAAAGCAAACACGGTACTCAAAGAAAACATTTAATGTGGACGTGGTGGTGATTTTCTTCCTGGCCTTGTATCAACGGGAACCTATTATGAAATTTGCATTATCATTAGCACTGAGGCATAAATAGTGAGAAATTGGGGCCTTTTCAATTCTGTTCTCATTTGGTGATGAAGAAATTCATCTCCTCTGACTCTGTATCCCCTTAAGAAATAGATGAGATGTCCCTGTTGGGGTATTAAGGAGAAGAAAGCCAACAGGCCAGCCTTTCACAAATCTGTGCAAATGCAGACAGATCAGGTAGATAGACAAATAATACAAAATGTTTCCAAAGGTTTCATAGGCATAAATAATGCCATAACTAATAACTGTCATGCTGTCAAGAAAAATCATAACATCAAAACTGGCTGTATGCAAGGCACTCGGGCAAGTGTTCAATGAGCAACATCGCTAACATATTTGATAGCAGCTGAAATTCATCCTTGACAAGGGACTGAGTACATCGGCAAATTTCTTCTAATAAGGTCTCACAGGGCTTAGTTTTCATAGCTACAACAAACAGGGAAAGGCCAAGTCCTGAGGCTTGTAACTAGTCAAGAACAAAACAATGAAATCCAAGATCAAAGCCAGAGAAGAAGAAAGGGGGGAAAGAAGGAAAGAAGGAAAGAAGGAAGGAAGGAAGGAAGGAAGGAAGGAAGGA